CTTGAAACTTGGATATTAATTGTACACTGTTAATTTTAGATAAAAGAAGAAACGTAGACCAACAACTCAAATAAAAAGCCTGCCAATAGCCTCTGCCAGAACTAACTATTATTTCAATACAATACATATGTATTTGTATCAGATATACTGTACAGGTAAACTATAAATATGTATATATAAACAAATGTTTACAAAATTAAAAATTTAACACACAAATAAATAATACACTTGTTATCCAGTTCTATTGTTTAAATTCTGTAATTATGTGTTATAGACGTTTCTCATAGTAAACAGGTTTAATTTATATAGAGGTCTTCTAATAGCATTGCATTTTGACGAAAATTTGTGGTTTGAATAATAATATTTATTCCGCGCAAATAAATTCAAGTATTTAGAATTATGCCGTCATCATTTATTGTGTACACGACTTTATGATGTGTGCTTACAGTGAGGAGAGCGAAGTCTTTTCATGATCTTTAGAGCTACGAGTTTTCGCTTCCCTGCTCCCAAATGCCTCGTTTAATCTAAGTCTTTTTTTAAATGAACTCATAAGATCTAGACCTTAATATGTTCCACAATTTAAATTTCTAATATTTAACAAGATGAAAATATTAATTCAATATTTATTTTTTAATAATAGGATGGGAATTATTATAAACAACTATTATATTATATCTACTTATTACATCTTCCTTCCTTTTGGCTCTTCAAAATAAGGGAAAATAGATATATAAACAAAATATTTTGCTGGCTTCCATTACATTTTTAATACTAAAAATAAATTGAATATTCCAATTTTTAATACATAATAGTAAAATGTATATATATTTTAATAAAAATATGTAAAACATTTTCAAGCAATTCCTTGCGAACAATTTGGACTTTCAAGTAGTAATTAGTTAATGGATATCGAGCGGCGCTTAAAATAAGATTTTGCGGATTCGCTATATTTTATACAGCTTTTAGGAACGGCTGCGGGCTATTAAGGTTACATAATAAACTATGGTCATATTTTTAATTTTTAAATAAAAAGATGGAAGTAAGCATGATTATAATAAATATTTTTCAGCATTAATTTCAACGTTACGATGGAAAAATTACACCTATCATTTAAAAAGAAAAAGAATTGTCAGCGTCCGTCAATTAACATAATGAACGTAAGTGAAAATTTGCAGAATATAGTTTTATATAATAATGTTCATTTTTCATTTAATTATAGCCCATTATGTATCTTATATTTTAGTGGGAAATATTATTGCAAGGTTTACATATGAATAGTACTCATCTCACTTTTTTGTGCTCGACTGTCTATTAAGCAAAAAAAAATATGTACTAAGTGTTCTACTACGTATTAATACAATTTAGTTTAAAAAACAGCATAATAAATATTACAGTGAGAACAAGTTTGTTTTGCAAAAATTAGATATTCAAAGTCTGTTTTGTCATTGTAAAAGTAGAAGATTTTCCGCTTTCAATTAATTTTTACTGATCATTAAAACTATTTTTCTTATATTACTGATTAAAATAATATAAATACGTGCTCATTTTTAAAATTTGCTTAAATTAATTTCAATAGTGATTAACGAATATTGATCAAGATATTCTAAGTCAACTATGTAGTTTGATCCAATCATCTGTTCCTAGATACAAGGAGATATTTGGAATTTAAACCTTGTTACACTCTTTGAAATTGGACCCTTATCACTTTCAGACTAGTCGTTGGAATTGATGAAATACCCTTCATGTAAATAAAATTCCAATAATACCCCGGCTTAGGATTTCGGACGAATCGTAAAAATGATGTTTAGTTAAATACATTTTTTGTGCTCGATGAAACTAATATCTAATTGTCTTTATAAATCTGAAAGAGAAATTTAAGATACATAAATTAGGTACAGAATAAATATACCCACACAATATTTAAAATAAAACTATTCATATGTAATTGGTTGTTATTAGCATAATGTAGCTAAAATGTTGTTTGATAACTCTCGTTTTTAAGAGAGGGCTTTTAATCGGAAATTTACTAAATGGAAAAAAATATAAACAGAAATTTGCAATTATTGTTTTACATATGTATGTAAAACAGAAATAATATTACATATATAAGTATTAGCCGGAATAACAGAATGAGTCCATTTTTATAATTATTGTCTTAATATTAATATTGTCTTAGTAAATATTTTATTGTCTTAATAAAATATTATAGTCAAATAATATTCATATATGTATATAAATTCTAAATTTTATTTTGCTTCCCTTCTATCTTAGCGCTTTGTTATTATTGAGTAATAATATGGAGAATTTTATCATTTATATGTATTTCAAGTGAAGAACATTTAGACATGTATTTTAAAGTCGTCATTATTAACTTAACTTTTCAATAAAAAACGTCACAAAGTAGGTTAATTATATATGTAAATATGCTTTGATGAAATAAAAAATTAATGACATTTTCAATATTTAACCAAAAACGGAAGATTACGGTTTTAAGTACATAAGAAAAAATTAAGGAACCGATCTTGTTACTATTTTTATATATGTGAAATCTAAACTCCATAACCGTAAAATATAAATGAACGAAGACTTCATAAAAGTTTATTTAATATAAATAAGAGAGCAAGAGATGGAACAAATGAAAACAATCTAAAAAGACAAAAGATCGCTAGACAGATTAAAAAAACAAACGGGTGAAATTTTGAGAGATTTGCATACAAAACGGGAGGTGTTACTTTAATCTGAGAAGATGTTCTTTCGTAGGTCCATTGTGTGTTCGTTTCCAACCCGCTGACGCATGTAAAACAGAGAAATGCAGTATTTCCGTGCCTTTGAACTACTCGTACCTGCCTTCCGACTCTATGATTTCTTAAGCAGTGTTAACTCCCGACTTTTTGTTTCCGATCGTTCAAATGTGTATGACACATGTTTAAAGTCGTGTTTATTTTTGCTTTAGTATTGTAGAGTTTTTCTATGCTGAATAATTAAAATAGTATTATTCTTTTGAATTACTTATTACTCCCGGTTTTTAGACAACTTAAAAGTTTTTATGACAAGTTTAAAATAAAAGGATATCAATTAAAGCAATTTAATTAAAAAGACCCCAAACTAGTAGGCTCGTATCAATTTTTCCTCTTTGTGCTACCTATTTACATGAAAGGGTTTCATGATTTCTTTCTTTTTAAGAAAAATTGCCACAACAATTTAATTTAAAAGTATATATTTGGCAAGTTAAAAATAACTCAAAGTTCGTGCCGTTTAATGTCTAGACTATTTTCTGTGGGAATATATGAAAAGAAAAAAGCGATTAACCACTTGGAGAAATATATTCCCACTATTATTTTTAATGTAAATGTTGTTATTTGTCATCGAAAATTAAAACTTCAAGTTTTCTACGACCCAGACAAGCATGGAGGTATAAAGAAGATAAGAACAGATCTTTATATCAAATTAAATTTCAAATAAATTAAAAAAAAACATATTTTATTCCATTTTAAATTACTACCCCTATCAAAACAGTTATTAATCAATTTAACTTATTTTGTAAATATGTCAGTTTGCATTAGTAGAGGCGTATCAATCTTCATTTTGATTTTGAGTTTTTTATTCATTACAATGATATTTTATTAAACATTGGACACTAATTCACAGTTTGTTTTATTTATTGAGACTATCTTCAAAATATTATCTCAATGATTAGGTAAAGTATTAGTATTCGGTTAAATCAACACTGGAACAGTTTGCAAAAGCTTTTTTTATGGACTTTTCTTCCACTCCATTCGACTAGGTAATTTTTCTGTAAAAATATTATAAAAATCATTTCATTTTCATATAAGTTTTAACTATTAAATTATAACATGTATATGTTTTTTTATTTTTTATTTATTATATTTATTAAAATATAAAATTTTTACACTAAGATAAAATTAAATATTTGTATTTTGTACCTAAGCATTCCATTTATCATTTAAATGTTATTACTGTAAATAAATTTGACCTAGTCTTATCACTCTTTGGGGAAAGCGTTTCATATATTAAATATATGAAATGTGTTTCAAAATAATTATATTTTATCAGTGAATTTTTTTTTTTTTGATAACCTTATAACGATAAGTAAATTTATAATGAACGTCCAGAATCTTTCCACAAGCTATCAAAATTAAGATTTCCATATTTGTGTTGGGGTAGATGTATTAATGAAATGAAACTAATATTTTGCGGATATACTACGCGACTTTATGTTTGATAAAAACTATATACTCCCGACGTTTCGGTTACTTTTCAGCAACCGTGATCACAGGCAGACAAGATATGAGTGTCTGTCAGTTGGTCTTGTTATTTTATCACCTACCGCCATCGATTTCTTAATCTTCTGGCGTACCGCTCTGGATTCCGGCAGAATGCGCTCACGGTGTTCCGAGATCCTGCGGTGTGGTCACGGACATGAGATTTTATATTTTTAAGAAGAGGATCCCAGGTGTTAGATAGATTTCAGCCATCTTCTCTATTGAAATTGGGGTGTTTTAAATAATATACTCAATAAATTAAAAAATCATCAAATCAATGATCATCAAATAAATAAATCTAAAACCCGCTTGGGCATGTATTAATTAATTGTAGTTATTGAAGATATGAATAGAACTATTGAGGTAACATGGCCGAGAAGATGAGTAGTGGCTAGTTCGTTTCCTTTTTTGAGCTTTATTTCAAAGTTTATTTAGTTTATCTCAAATAATATTAAATATTTAAATTAATATTTTAGAAGTTAAACTAAGAAGAACTGACGATATCGCTATACTTGATAGTATAACTGAACCCCAAACACTGTCAAGTACTATTGGTCAATGGTGGCCTAGTGGTTAAAGGCCCGCCTCTCACGCGTGAGGGCGCGAGTTCTTTAGCCTTGGCTCGCGTAGCAGCGTGAAGTGACTTATTTGACGGGGTCAAATGCTCTGCAACATACACTGGCGATCGCGTACCACCAAAACTCAGATGATGGGAGTTTAGTTTCTCTTCTTTATTTTTTTATTAAATGTTTGAACAGCTGCCAACAGAATATCACGTTGTCGCGGCGTACGCAGTCTTGCAATAACAGTGCGTGGCCTGTTACTGTTATTCCTCAGCTTTGCGACTCGTGTTACTTGTATGATATCGTCATCTAAGAGATTTACATTAACAGTTTTAGCTAACTGTCCTATAACATTCACGAGATTTTCGGTCTTATGTTCCGGAATTCCATTAATTTCCAGGTTACTTTCGCGCATATATTGTTCAGTAAGATTTAATCGCATAGTGAGATCTTTTACTTCCAGCGTTAGCTGATCATTTTTAGTTTGTAATTTTTGAATAGTAGCGGCACTAGTTTCTAAACATTTCTTAAAATTATCATACTGATCACTAAAAAAGTTCATAGCTTCTCTAAGTCCTCCCAATTCAGTGTTAATGTCACTTAATTGATTGGCTAAAATGTCGGATATGTTACTAGATATGACTGATGACATTTCGTTTTTAAATTTTTCTAACATAATATCTTGTAACGCTTCCTTAGTTACAAGGGTCTCAGAGTCGATACTGTCACCACTTTTTTGAATACTTTTTTTTTGTAGTGTAATATTATTAATATCGATACTCTCACTTGATTGTGTGTCAACTGCATTGCAATGTGATGGTCTAACTGGCGTATTCGTATTATTTTTCTTTGGAAGTTTGCTGAGACAACCTTGAGAGATATTCGCACAAAAGAGATCATAGTTTTGTTTACATTGGTGACAGCTCATAAATTCTTTTTGAGGTATTTTATTACGACAGCCGGCACAGTTCATATGGTACGAGAGCTAGCAACGTCAAAAAAACAAGCATTTCAGGTAGGCTAGTTTTTAGATATGCTATCTCTCACACTCCCCTGGACGTCCTACGGGATATCTGGCTGCCGGTAGTGGTTGCGTTCATCAGTGCGCATCGTACTTGTGGAGGTAAAAAATTAATATATCAAATCATTTTAAGAAGGTTTTTATTATTATTATTATTATTATTGAACTATTCACAACATAAATTTATTATTGCCAGGTATTTTTATTGTTGTTTAAACGGTGCCAAGCGGCAATTTTGAATTAAAAATTATTTTTTTTTCAAACTATTTTAGTATAGCTGAAATTTTAATAGCATGATATTTAACTATCTAAAAGCTCAGAATTAATTTGCCAGGAAAAAAATCGGTTGTTAAACTTTTGCCAGATCGAAATAAAGTGTAAAGTGATGTAGTATCATTTCGCTTGGTCTAGAAAATTAATCGTCTAATAAATAATGGAAGAAGGAATAAAAAGTAAAAACTATTGAATTTATTTATAGATGAATACAAAATTGAGATAATGATCAATGTTAAGTTTGAAAAAGATCATCATCTTCATCACTGCTGTCATTTCCATTGTCATCATCGTCCTTAAAATTATTATCATTTTGTAATAAGCTGTTATCTGTAATACAATCAAAAATTTTAATATCTTTCGAGAAATAATTTATTTTTGTATTTTAGTTCAAATTTTTACCTTTAATAATAATATCGGCAACTAATGTTGGAAATTGCTCCCCAACGAACCAGATAAAATCATATTTATCATCATTAATGGTCCAGCCAGAAGCTTGAGGTGATAGAGATGTTGGGTATTTTAAATAAGCATTTCTCCAAAACGTTGTGACATAACGAACTCGTAGTAAGTGTTGATATAACTCAGCTTTACTTGGTGGTAGACTTGATGGATCAAAATTACGGAACTTTTTTTCAAAATTATACGATAGGGTTTTAGAAATCATACGTGAAGCGGTTAGTCTTTCGGTAGCCAGAGCGCTTTTTCAAACTTAACATTGATCATTATCTCAATTTTGTACAACAATAAAGTATTATTTTTTTATACCGTATTCATCTATAAATAAATTCAATAGTTGTTAATCCTTCTTCCATCATTTATTAGACGATTAATTTTCTAGACCAAGCTTAAATGATACTACATATCTTTACACTTTATTTCGATCTGGCAAAAGTTTAACAACCGATTTTTTTCCTGGCAAATTAATTCTGAGCTTTTAGATAGTTAAATATCATGCTATTAAAATTTCAGCTATACTAAAATAGTTTGAAAAAAAAATAATTTTTAATATAAAAATTGCCGCTTGGCACCGTTTAAACAACAATAAAAATACCTGGCAATAATAAATTTATGTTGTGAATAGTTCAATAATAATAATAATAAAAACCTTCTTAAAATGATTTGATATATTAATTTTTTACCTCCACAAGTACGATGCGCACTGATGAACGCAACCACTACCGGCAGCCAGATAGCCCGTAGGACGTCCAGGGGAGTGTGAGAGATAGCATATCTAAAAACTAGCCTACCTGAAATGCTTGTTCAAAAACGTTGCTAGCTCTTAGAATAATATTTATGAGAATTGTAACAGGATAGAGAAACAATAACGCAAATTATAAATAAACTTAGAAAATATTCGGTCCGGTGGGGTTTGAACCTTAATCAGTCAGTCCCACTGTTTAAACTGGAGCAAAAGCCACTGCGCCACCAAGCGACTATAATATAAGATAAATTAGTTGAACATCAGCTGTGCTGTTTTTTCTCGAATAGAGTTAATGAGCTAATTGCAGTATAGTATTATTAAATCTGCACTTGCTAATGAGTAACTTAAATCAATACTTTAACTGAAAGTTTTAAAACTATTTATTTGAAAGTATAACTTAAAACACAATATTTACTTAAAATCTGAATTTAGAAAGCGGAGACAATAACACACAACATGCACCTAAAGGGGGGATAAGCAAGGGTTGATGTCAGGCGGCCGGTCATAAAAACAATAAGCCAAAACTATTTACAACAGACCCAGGCTAAAGCTGGGAAATTGCCAGGAAGAAGAAGAAGACTGTTAAGTACTAATGGATAAAGTTGGTAAATTTTGTGAGTGGACGGATGGAATGAGAACAAACCCAAATAAATGTTTCTATGTATGTCTCTATAAACGGAATTAAAAGGAATAGTAGATAGGTTTTAAAACGATTTCAACAAGTTAGATAATCAGCCGTTGAGGAACATCAAAAATCTACGATAATTACCTAACTTCACTTTTAAATTGGCCTTTCCTCGTCTATGAATTTAATAAAACCCTTTTTTCAAAAGTAGATGCAGGTGTCATAAAGATGTTGAAGTGGGACTCAGACTGGCGCTTTATAAACAGCTCTTTAAACACTTAAGAGTTTCCAGGAGGTATATCCTGGGGAAATCCTATAATGACATCATTACATTACTCCCAAAAGACAATTATGCCCCAGAGCTAAGGTCAAGACTTCAATTCCTCGCTCTGGATGGACTTCCTCTCCCTCAACAGGATGGGCCCGGCACCCGCATGGTGAATCCATGGAATGCAGAGAGGTTCAAGGATAAAAGCATGAAGTTTTTCTTCTATGCTCAATGAGGTTGTTTCTAAAGTACTTGGAAAAGAAAGCTACATGGTTATGCCATGATGATCTTTGAATAATATAAAGTGGACCGAAAAACTCTTAAAATTCCTCGGATTCATGGAAGACTCATTACACTTCACTTTAATACAGGAATCAATTTAAACGTAACGAGAGACGGTTGGAGAATAATAGCTGTCCTAACCACAGGATTAACATATTCTTTAATCATGCTAAAAACGTCATTAGTCAGGTTGGACCCTGGATTCCGCATTATCGGAAAATACAACATCACGCTTCGTCGGTTTTGTGTTGAAACCCGTAGTTATATTTTTTCTGTCTCTATTACGGTGCTATCTATAACGTTTAAATATATGCACAATGTAGTCCTGATATTGTGGGATACAAACTTTAGTTTTGAAGTCTATATTGGATTCTAACGAATCTACGCCAATTTGTTAACACCGGCCTAAAGCAATTATAATTGATTTAACTACATATAAATGTAAGGGTAGATTTTTTATGAAGGGCAAGGGCCTCTGTTATTTTACGTTATTTTCCATTTTAGTTAGTGGTTACACATTATGGTCTTGAATTTAGTTTGGCTAAGAAGTCGTTTCCATATACCCATGTGTGTTCATAATAATTATACTTATAGTCTGGGTGGCGGTAACACTATATAACACATAATTCTGTCTACTTGACACACACTCCGCAAGATTTAAAATATGTATATAGACTGAGGTGCATTTCTGTGTCGAGTTCAATCATACCTTGTCATAGCTGTAGGCGTTAATTTCTAGCGCGTAGAATCATTAATAGGGCAACACTGATACTTCTATTAGTGAATGACTATTGCAATAGTTGCCTAATACTAGTAAAAATACTCATAGGTAGGATTAAGATGCGGTCATCATTTTGCGTATAAAAATATTACTACATATAACGGATAGAAGTAATAAGTATATATGATAGAGAATATTTATTAAGAACTCAAATATACATATATATTTCCGAATACTTTGCATCACTTGAAAGAAATAACAACCATAATAAATAAAATGCAATACGTATTAAAAAAAAAAACACTATGCATTAACTATTCTATATTAAAGAAATTTAAATTTCACATTATTAAAATTCTTTAGTCAGACTTTTAAATAAATGTACTCGGGAAAGCATAAGCAAAATGAATTAATTTAAATTCTATCTATTCGCCTTGAAATGTGTCAGCATTTCAAGATAGTTAATTTTATTTGATAAGCACTTAAATAGATCCCTTTCTTTGTATTATTTAAAGTGGTATCTCTTTAAACTATTGTTACTTTATTCAATTCTGGATGATTTTCAATTCCAGTCGAGTGATGCTCTGAAAAGTATACTAACGTCTAATAGGCTATTTTAAAAATTATTATTTAGCTTAACTCTTTTGTCAAGTAAGTTTCAGTGTTTCTATAAAAAAAAGCTATATTTTCGGAATCAATCCTCATATTTTCATTTTTATCTTACATTTTGATTACTTCGAAGGATTTGGCACACCGAAAGACAAAATGAAAAAGTTTTCTTTCATCTTGTCTACCCGATTGAATATAAAAATGTAAATATGCGCAAGAAAAATCCTATCACACAGTTTGCATTAAAATGTGTCAACATATTAAAACTTTAAAATTTATAACAGTTAACAATTTAAAACCAAATAAATTGGATATTAAACCTACATACCTAATAATAAAAATATTACTTTTAAAAATCTTTTGCTCAATCGATTTAAAAGTCTCAATCTAAGTAATTCTTTTTTTAATGCAATTATGTAGAATGCACTTTTATATTAGTATTAGTAAACATTTTCTTGGATTTCATTTCGTTTATAGAGGAAGTGTAAATAGTGGTGCAATAAAACAGCGTATCGGCTGACTGTATCGGAGATATCCAACCCTATATCGGAAAAGCGTTAGGGTGATTCATATTAGCCTTTATTTACTTACAAAACTTCTTAACTACCCAATAAGATTAATAGCTTTTAAAACCCAAAACTGTTATACC